GAAGGCCAATGTCATCCTGGTCTGTATCAGGAATAATGTGGCCAGCAGGAGCAGGGAGGTCATTCTTCCCCTGTACTTGGCACTAGTAAGGCCACACCTTGAGTACTGTGTCCAGTTCTGGGCCCCTCAATGTAGGAAGGATGTTGAGATGCTTGAGTGCATCCAGAGGAGGGCAATGAGGCTGGTGAGGGGCATGGATCACAAGCCCTATGAGGAACAACTGAGGGAGTTGGGGTTGTTTAGCCTGGAGAAAAGGAGACTCAGAGGTGACATCACTCTCTACAACTTCCTGAAAGGTGGTTGTAGTCAGGTGGGGATTGGTCTCTTTCTCCAGGCAGCAACTGACAGAATGAGAGGACACAGTCTTAAGCTGTGCCAAGGGAAATTTAGGTTGAATATTAGGAAAAAGTTTTTTATGGAAAAAGTAATAAAGTACTGGAATAATCTGCCCGGGGAGGTGGTGGAGTCACCATCCCTGGATGTGTTTAAGAAAAGACTGGATATGGCACTCGGTGCCATGGTTTAGTTGAGGTGTTAGGGCATGGGTTGGACTCGATGATCTTGAAGGTCTCTTCCAACCTAGTGATTTTGTGATTGTGTGATTGTGTGATTTTTTTGTTTGGGCTTTCGTTATACTTTGGAAGGGAGGATGTCTTATGAATATATGACAAAATTAAGATTATCGAAAGTGAGTGAAAACTTTTGGTTTTCCCTCTATAAGACCTTTACTGAAGAGTGTGAAATTTCTTACAAAACTCATGAAGTGTTTCTGCCTTTCTGGAGGTTCCTCCCTCTCCTTAAAGTATGCTCACCACTTCCATAAAAAGTACCCCAGTGGATCTGATCAATGATGCATCTTGCCCACCTGCAGTAAGAGAGGCTATCTAGGAAAAGTAGGTCAACCTTGTTGCTGTTTGCAGTCTCATGCCTTTGTTTTGCCCTAGTATTCAGAATTCTATTTAGGATATTAGAAGTACAACTCTTCCTAGTCCTAATAAATACCCATTTATAGACCTATTGTCTGCTGTAGTGGTTTTGGATTGTCAATTGGCGATTTCCCAGCCAATGCACCAATGAGTATGGTGGGTCACTGGCTAATCACCAGTGTACTTATTAGAATGTATTTACTTTTTATTTTGTTGTGATATAGGATTAGGAGAAAGGCAAAGCAGGCTCAAAACATTAAAAGGGTATAAAGAAAAATTTATTAATAGTAACTAAAAGAAAGAGTAATAAGAATTAGAACAAAACTTTCAGGACACTTCTCCCCCTACAACTTTCCCACTGATAATGTAAAGAAACAAAATCTGAAATTTTAGACAGTTTCCCAACTCTAAAATAGTTTTTCTTTAGTTCACTTAGGGAGAGAAGTTCTTCTTCTTAATGTTATGAAGACTTCTCCACAAGAAAACAGTTCTCTTGTGGCTCTCTCCATGAGTAGCAGCCGCCCAGAGAAATCGGTAATTGTGGAATCCCTCCCATTTTCCACAAGCTTTTCCCACAGCTTTGTTTATGGGCTATGTTAACTTATGGGGTACTCTTTTAAAGATGAGCTGTTCAAAGGCAAAGGTTCTCATTATCTATCTCTGAAATCATCTTCTTCCTGGGGGCACAGGATCTTTATCATTCTTCTCTCCTTCTCTGTTCAAACTTCTCATAGAATTACAGTTACTTAAATATCTGCTTACTTTAGTATGGAGGCCTTTGTTTGATATCTACAATTGAACACTTTCATCTCCCCATACCTTCAGGCGTTATAGGGAAAAAGAGTCCTTCTCCATATCTTTACAAGAGGATTTCTGCCTAAAACTAGAGGTATCTCCTCATCCCTCTCATTTGGGACTTGATTTCTTCTTCACTGACTTTGGTGTATTCATGTTGCTCCCCTACATTGCATGCATTTTATTCCTTTCTCTCACTCAAGAGATGATTGAAGCACTGGAAGAGTTAATATCTCGCCTGGGGCCTGCAGATGGTCACCTGACCCAGGCTGGGCTTATTAGCTTGTGGCAGGAACTGTGGCTGGGGGGGAGGATAGCTTCTCCTTTCCCTGCCCAGTGGTTTGCAGGCGAATCTCAGTGGTAGAATCTTGGCCGACCCAGCCCGGGGCTGCTCCTGGGGGCTGGCGGGCCCAGCTCAGCCCCACTTAGTAGCAGCAAGATGTTAGAAATCGCAGCCATGGCCCGGCCCAGCCCAGCATCAGCTCCATGGCCTCCCCTCCCCTGCCCAGCAGCTGATGTGGGGGGGAGAAGGGGGCCTGGCCCCACAGCAGGGGCTGCCTAGCCCATTACCTCTTTGCCAACCAGAAAAGAAAGAGGACATTCCCGGGTTTCTTTCGTCTTTAACATGTTTTTCACAGAGGCGCGTACAGCTTTCCAGTGGCTGGAAGCTTTGCATCACTTCCGTGAATGTCTCCCATGCAAAACCACCACACTGATAAAACCAGTCAGTGAGTCGTTTTGAATACTAAGACTTTGTTAAATCACTAGGAAGCTGAACACTCCTCTGTAAACACACATGCTAAAAATGAAAAATCCCAGGAATTCTCTTTTTCTCTTCCGGCCTGAGAGCAGGTAACAAGGCCAGCCCGGCCCTCCTGTCTTGGCTGGGCTGGGCCGGGCCGGGCCGGGCGGGCTTTGCTGCAGGGCCGAGCCCCATCGGCTGCTGGGCAGGGGGAAGGGAGGCCACGGGGCCAAGGCCGGGCCGGGCCACGGCTATGGCTGCTAACATCTTGCTACTACTAAGCCCTGCCCCGCTGCCAGCCCAGGCCAAGCCAGGGTTTGCCGGGCCCCCAGGAGCAGCCCTGGGCTGGGCCGGCTCTGCCAAGATTCTGCTGCCGCCGTTGAAGTTCGGCTGCAACCACTGAGCAGGGGGAGGAGAAGCCATCAGCCCCCAGCATGCTGCTGCTGTGTTCTAGCCTGGCTACTGAGAGTTGCCTCCCCTCACCAGCACGGCTGCCAAAAATCCTCTACCGTAAACAGCTCTGCCACTGCAGAAATCATATGACCTCTCACCAGGCCTGGGTGAGATATTAACTCTTTCAGTGCACAGATGAGACCTACAGGCATCAATCCTCCCTCGGGTGAGAGAAAAGGACAGAGTGAGAACAGGTAGAGGAACAACATGGATACACCAATGTCTGTGAAGAATGAGTCAAGTCCCAGATGGAAGGGATGAGGACATGCCTTGATCTTGGGGCTGAAATACTCTTGTAAATCTGTAGAGAATATATAATTGATACATCAGACTCTTTTTCCCTGTAACCCATTGAAAAGTATGGGGGATGACGCATTCAAATTGTAGATATGAGCAAAGGCATCTATGCTAAAGCAAGCAAATGTTGAAGTAGCTATAATCTCATTAGAAGCTTGAACAGAGAGAGAAGAGTGATGAAGACCCTCTGCCCCAGGGAAAGAAGAAGAAAACCTCTGTTCTCAGGGATGATCTCAGATATAGATAAAGAGAACCCTTGCTCTTGAACATCTCATCCTTAAAATAATACCCCATAAGTTGACATGGCCCATAAACACAGCTGTGGGAAAGCTGTGAAAAATGGGAGGGACTTCATGATTGCAGATTTTCTGGGTGGCTGCTATTCATGGAAATTAAAAGCCACAAGAGAACTGTTTTCTTGTGGAGAAGTCTTCATAAATTGACAAGAGGGACTCCTCTCCCTAAGTGAACTGAAGAAAGACTATTCTAGAAGTGATAAACTGACTGAATTGTTTCTGTACATTGTGAGTGGGAAAGAAAAAGTTGTAGGGGGGAGGAGAAGTGTTCTAAAGGTTTTATTCTGATTCTTATTATTCTTTCTTTTATTTACTGTTAATAAAGATTTCTTTATACCTTTTTAAAGTTTTGAGCCTGCTTTGCCTTCCTCCTAATCCTATCTCACAGCAGGAAATGAGTAAGTATATTCTAGTGGGTGCACTGGCATGTTGCCAGCACTAGACCCACCACATTTTTGTGAATTGTCAGAGAGCAAGAATGAGCAAAGTGAGCATGGGCTTTCTACTTATTCTATGAGACTTTTCTTGTCTGTTACAGTTTCTTTTTTTACTGTATCACTTATGTTTCCCTGTCAAATGAGATGGAATAAGGGGTTGTTTGATTTTGATATGGCTCATTAAAGGAGGGTGTTAGAGGAGCAGTCACATTGGACTCACGTTCTTTTGAAACTTCAGTACTTGGTACTCTTAGGGCAAAACACGGATGTGAAATCAATGTGACATGCACCTTTGTGTCAGTGCATGGCCGCTCTGCTCTTCCAATTGCTTCTTGCTACAATGTATAGGAAATAAGATAAAGTATGATGGATGGCATTTAAAAAATGCAATACACTATGTATTTGAGAAGGAAAATCCTTATTCCTACTCAAAATTTACTGGTTGTTTTGTACTTTTTGGGGGCTTTCTGGCTTTGGATATTTCACTGAAGAAGTCAGAAATGGCACCTTAACTTCAGCTTAACAGTCTGTGTTAATAATTGTTTTTAAAATGATGATTTTTATTAAATTGCAAGCAATTTAATTTTAGTTGAATTACCAGCTGATTGAATACCCACAAGAAGTGGATATCAGAATACAGTTTCAGGGGATTTCCCTCCTATGTCAGGATGTTTAATTTTATATCAGCCTAGAAGGGAGACAATCCTTTGTGAAATGAACCTCAGGAAACATTCCCACCCAAGGGAGACTCAGAAAAGAGTCCAAGTGGTGTGGCTTTCACATGGTATTTTATTTACTTGCCACTTAGTTTTTTGTTCATTAAGTTTTTCACTTGTACACTGACTGTTCCATTAGAGCCTCTGGCTAGATCTAGCCCCTGACTAGATCAAATCTGAGCCATTTTACAGTGTGGCCAGGAATCGTTTTCTATTTATCACTTTTTTTTTTTTTTTAACCCCTTTTTTTCTGCTTCTATCTGCATTTCTCAGAGCAGGGATTAAAATAACTTTTTGAAAAATTTTTCATCTGTTAATCTTTTGTGTTTTCTTTCCAGGCCGAATTCACCAAGCTATGGTAACATTTCTAAATGAAGATAATGAAAGCGTAACTGTTGAATGGATTGAAAATGGAGATACTAAAGGCAAGGAGGTAAACCTAATTATTTTATAACTTTTATCTTTAAAAAATGTGCCATCTGCATGAATTGTGCTTTGGAATTTGCACTGGAAATGGAGAAAAGATAAATCTTAATTTACATAACTGTTGCCTTTTTCAACCTAGAAATGAAACTCAAGATAATTTTAATATAGGAGGTAATATAAAAGTGTATCTTTATTTGGAGGCCTCCAGGGGCATTTATGGGGAATGTCCACAAAAGCCCACCCCTACAAGGGGTGCATACAGTTTTATAGGTTTTGTAAATTAGCATAATTGACAAAAAACACCAATTAGGAGCACAAGTGGTGAGGCAATTCCCCCCTGGGTCAAGCCCCTTCTAAGTCTTCCCTCCCTCAGTACTAGCTGTACTTTGTTTATCGTGAAGAGTTGTTCTCAACCTCGGTAGCCAGGAAGAACCAAGATAGAATAGGGGCCTTGTACCCCCCAGGGCTTGGAGCTCTGGAATTTGTTTTCTTTCTGCCTAGGGAAAGGGCATGGAAAATTACTGGGAAAATGAGTCACTAATACAATAGGTTACAAAAATACGTGTAAAGAATACGGAGAATATATAAGGGGAAAAAAAAGGCAAAAACCAAAACGGCATCAGACGATTCTTTGTTTCCAGACTGTTTTGTATGGGAGTTTTTAGGCAAATGCTGGTTTCTGTTGTATTAAATTTTACTTCCTGGGCTCTTTGTTATAGCTTTTATATAGTGCTTTTCATATTTTGATTTTGAAACAGATTGCAAAGGCTGAACTTGTTACCCTTTTTACAAGTAGAAAAATCAAATTTTTGAGAGGAAGAGTGACTTGCAATTCAGACAGGAAGCCAGTGGGAACTGGATTAAAAATCTTTTTCTGTTTGTATTATTGAGGGATTAAACTGCTAGTCTGTTTGTTTTAGGCAATAATTTTTCAGCCCTGCTTTCTTTAAGAAACTGTGTCTGTCTCAGTTATGCTTTGCTGTTCCCTCTTCCTGTAAATGTTGGACCATGTTAGCCAGTTTCAGCTGAGATTTGGAGAAGCAGCTCAGAAATAATTGCATTTTACCAGTTTTGTCAAAACATGGGGAAAAGGAAAAAAAGGTTGTGAGAATGTCCTGGTGATCTCATCAGCTGAACTCATCCTGCTAGACACAGAATCCATAGAGTAGTGAGGTCTTTGAAAGGTCCAGCCAGAGGAAGTGGCAGTCTATAGAAACCAAAGCTATTTAAGATTTTGAGGAAACAGAGTTTCAATAGATCTGAAGCCAGTTATTTTTAAGTTCCTTTCTTATCCCCCTTGCATTTTGCAGCTTTTTGAATGAGTAGCACTTACAAGGAAAAAAATAGCATCATAAATTTGATGTGGTTTCAACTCTGCTTATTATTTCTTGGATGATTGTAGTTCATCTGTTTCTTTTGCACTATCTGGGAAATTTCAAATAATTGAGATCTCTTTCTTTTTATGTTACAAAATGTCTTTCATTGTAGTGTTACATTTTAGTTAAATGGTATGCTCTGTCTCACCCCTCGAAAATATACGGTTTATTCCAAGCCTGTGATCCTCCCCTGAAGTATCATGTATCTGTAATCCCATTGGCCCAAGTCTTATTCCATGCCCACTGAATTTCCCTGTTAAGCTGTGTGAGGGAGAAGATACCCTCTCTTGGCCCCTTTTGTCCCTAAGCTCTCCCTCTCTCCCCCTCCATCCCCTTTCCCCCTTCTCCCTCAGAAACCATGCTGCTCCTGGGGGTGGGACCCCCAATAAACCCTCATCTAATTAGCACCCTCAGAAGCTGTGTGGAGTCTCCTTGCCTGCCTGCTGCTACCAGTGAACACACAGCTTAGGGGGCCCTCCAGGGACTCCCTGGGGAGCCCCCCCAAACGAACCACTACATTTCATATTCTGCAGTAACTGACAAATTACCACAGTAATACTAGCTATTTCTGTTTTAATTTAATCACTTTACAGAATTATCAATACTTATTGGTATCGCATTCCACTCCTAAGAAGAAGGGAATAGCCAAGATTCATAGATGCCTGTGGTTGAAAATGGCAAAAGCTAGAAGTGTCTGAAAAAGCTTACAAAGTTTTATTATCAAATCATACACTTAGTGTGGAAATTGGTATAAGTTTTGCCCTTATTTTCTTGTATTAAGACAAATAGAAGAGAAGAAGGAATAGAGAGAGAGTGAGAGATCAGGTAGGAGAGGAAAGGAGATCACCAGTCCTGGTTCCAGTGTTGATCCAGCTGATGGGGTGTTCAAGGTCCTGGAGGTACCACCCAGGCTTTATGGGAGTATCTTTTTATAGATAAGTTTTCCCCACCATGGGATTAGGTTTCTTGCTCTCCTTGTCAATGAAATAGCATGCACAGTCTGCTCTTCTAAGCCTTTCTGGAAATGGGTTAGGGGACTATTGAGGGTCTTTGGTGGTCTCAATCCTCCTCTATTGGATTGGCCTTCTGTCCACAGTTCATGCCCATTTCTTGACCTCACTTCTGCGCTTGCACTGTCCTTTACATTGTGAAGTCACTGTGAACCAGAACAGGGAAGTGGGCCACAGAAAGGTGCTGCCCTACCTTTGTATGGCCTTCCTCTCCAGCCACATCCTGTTCTAACTTGCCCACTTGCACAGCTATCAGTGTTTGAGACATAGCAGTGCATTAACTCCTTGTTGTCCAGGCTTTGGCAATTGGTTATTTTTAATTACTCTTTTCTGAAGGATGTGTTTTCAACTTACATGAAGACCAAAGCTTACACTGTTTTTACTGAAAATAAAATAAGATCATTCAGGTTATAGAATTAACAAATTGTGGGGTAAAAGCACTAAATATATTTATTGTTTATTCTCAAAAATATTAGGAGAAATAGGGTAAATATTGTTCTAAGAATCATAAATGTATTTTATATTCTTTTACACAGATTGACTTGGAGAGCATATTTTTACTTAACCCAGATCTTGCACCTGATGATGATATTGAACCTAGTCCAGAGACACCACCACCTACTTCAGCAGCTAAAGTATACAAAATCATGAAGGTTGGTAATACCTAAGCAGCATGTTCATATTAAACTTTCAGTACTCCTATACATGTTGTTATGCTTGAATTTTTAAATCTAACTTTTGTGTCTGTGAAGCTACTTGATAACTGTGTTACTTTCTTTTTCCTATGCTGAACAGGGGTTTCTAACAATTTTATAAGAACAGGTTTGGCAGAAAGGGAGTTGGGGACTAATATTTATATAACTAAATATATCTCAAGGAAAAATATAGAAAATGTTTTGGAGGTTGTTTTGAAACAGTATACATAGTTCAAACAGTCTTCACCCTGGGCTCTTATGGGAAGGATTTGGCAGCAATCACATCTTTGTATTGCTGATGTCATGTTATTTTTATTTACTGGAAAGAAGCAGAGGTAGGGCTGCAGTTTACATTTTCAATAATAAGGTGATCAAATAACAGATATTTCTTTCTTTTACAGAGTCAACGAACCACGGCACCTATTAAGAATGACATTCCTGCCAGAGATAACAGAGGTAAATGTTATCTCTTTCCCTTTGTCTGGGTTTGACACTGGCTAAGCGCTAGGCACCCACAAAAAATCATTTATTCATTCTCCTCTGGTATAGTTGAGCAGAGGAGGGGGAAAGAACAACTAAAGGGGTTCATGAGTTGAGGTAAGGATTGGAAAGAAACACTTTAAGGGAAAAACAGGCTCAAAACTTGAAAGATATAAAGAAAATTTTATTAACAGAATTAAAAGAGGATAATAAGAATTAAAATAAACCTTTAGAAAACTTCCCCTCCCCCCAGCCCTTTTCTCCTTCCCACTGACAGCACAGGGAGACAAAACATGGGGTTTTTAGTCAGTTTGTCACTTCTAAAAATCTTTCTTCAGTTCACTTAGTGAGAGGAGTCTCTTCTGCTATGCCGTGGGGTTCTTCCCATTTGAGACATTTCTTTGTGAACTTCTCCAATGCCATTCTAATTTTCACAAGTAGCAGTCCCACCCGAACCTGCTGCAGCGTGAGTCCCTCCCACAGGCAAAACAGTCTTCCCACAACTGTTTTTTTATGGGTCATTTAGTTCATGGGGTATCGTTTTTAAGGATGAGCTGTTCTAGTATAAAATCAAGGGTCCTCTTCCCCTATCCCTGGAAGCAAGAGTCCTCTTTCTCTGTTCAAGTTTGTCACTAGGTTATAGCTTTTCAGTATCTACATGCTCCCAACGTGAACACCTTTTTCTCACAGGCTGTGGGTAGACTTCTACATCCCATGATCAGTTTCCACACAAATCACAATCACAAGTACACACACTACCTGTATGTACCTGACACGAAACACAACTTTGTATCTCACACCCCCATGCACTTCATGAATTAAAGGGAAACAGTTTGTTGTATTATAGTCCTCACCATGGCTTGTAGATCAGCTCCGATGCCCTGAGTACCTCCTTCCCCCCTCCCTTCTTTTCACTGACCTTAGTGTCACCATGTTGTTCTCCTCACGTGTCTTCACCTTTTCTTTTTCTCTGACTTGGGAGAAAATTGGTCTCCGTAGGTTTGTTTGTTGTAAAGTTCCCTCACTGCTGGCCATGTGGTCCCTGCCGGCACCACGCAGGCAGTGCTGGCTGCTGGCTCCATTCAGTGCCTTTTTTAATGCAAGGCACTGAAAAAAAAGTAAAGCTACTGCTGCCACTCCTGCCTTTCTGTCTGCATCATGGTTGGTTAAAACCAGCTAAGCAAGAAAAGTTCATTGCGAGCCATGCTGAGAGAGCAGCAGCCACGTGGCGCCACCCCAACCACGTCGCCCCAGCCATGTGATTTCAGCCACACCGCCTCGGCTACATGGGTGCTCCCAGCACTGATCTTGGCTGCGTGGCTGCTCATCACACTGGGATGGCCCCCCCGGCAGAATGGCCCTGGCTGAGAAGGGCTCTGGCAGCCATGCAGGGAAGGGGCCCAGCAGCCCCCTTGCCACCCTTCAGAGGGGAGGAAGAGAGATTACGTGCTTTTTTTTCATTCTTAAATATGTCATCACAGAGGTGTTACGAACTTGTCTAATCGGGCCAGCCAATATGTCCATCGTCAGAGCTTTCAGGGATTGGCTCTGCTGGACATAAAAGTTTCAAGGAACTTTTGTCTCACAAGCAGCCTCTGTGTCTTCCTCCGCCCCAGCTAAAAGCCATGTTGTGTTAAACTAACACACCCTTTCAAGGAAGTAAAAAAATATAAGAACATTTTAATCTCCTGCTCATATAACATTTCTTGATAGTTCTGCATTTCTAATTCTAACCCTGTGGGTGATTTGCAGAAAAAAAACTCCACAACTTGTAAAAGTTGTAAAGCCAATATGATTTATTTCAGCGCTGGACGCATGCAGGATAGCTCCCCCAAAGGACATGCGCACCCCCGAGAATTCACGAGTATATTTTATCCCTTAACTTGTTGCATATGCATAAAGTTTCAGGATAGGTTCATGCATATTCATTTCCTAGCCTCATTTCGTATTAAAACTCTTATCAGTTTTTATGAGCCTGCACAGTTCTCCAGTAATGTCGCTGTAATGTCCCTGTGCCTGCAACCCAGATTCAGTTTTCTTTCCAAGGTTGGTGGAGCCCCTCCTTATCTCTCTTCAGCTTGGAAGCTTGCATTCCTTTCTAAGTAGCCTTGAATCTCTTTTGTTCTCTCTGCAGGCCTTTTGCCAGCACAGCAAGTTAGCAGACTAAATAAGTTTAGCAGGCTATAGACTAAACAAGCTAAAACAGCACTCTTCAGCTAAATCCAAAATCGGTTTCTACCCCAAGTTAAATTTCTAACCCCCTGCCTCAGGGTTATTTCTCACTTTACAGTTAATAGTGAAAAATCTATAAAAATACTCATATGACGAGAGGATAAGTGAAAAGTTTGTGTTGTATGAATATAGATGCATCTAATAACAAGAGAAAGAATAGTTATTTCTCATTGTTTCTGTGAGAAACAACTGCTTGAAATAAATGGGCAGGAGATC